CCTGATATACAGGAAGCAGACCACATCCCAAAGGCAGTTACTCAGCTGCTTGTGGTAGAGCCCACCATGGAGTTGATTGCCAGTCTCATCATGGGGATTAACTACCACCAGCTGCCCAGCCACTCAACCAGCCCCAGCCAAGTTGACACATAACATAACCACCACAGCCTTCTTTATTGGACAGCAGGCATTCCATAGTCCGTGGAATTCCCCTTCTTTTAGAAATAGGCTGAAGCGCATTCCCAGTCAGAACGTGGGCTAAACTGCCAGCTCAGTCCCTTGCTCTGAGTGATCCACCTGTCGGGCAGGTCACTTCACCTCGGAGCAGGTGTTTCACACACGAATGGCTGCTACAAGGCGCAGCCCAGGGCTTGCAGCTCCTTGGCCCTCCCTCCCCAGCAGCATTTGCTTTGTGAATGTTAAGCGTAAGCAACACCACTGGGTGTGTTAACGTGCACCCAGTGGAGTCCATACAGTGGAGTATCATTCAGCCGTAATGGCTGCAGGGCTTTGTATGGGAGACGGGGGAGTTTCGGACCTGCGCACAGGTGGGAGCTTGCATTGTGAATATCTCGAAGCCACTGGAATTGCTCACTAGAAAACGGTTACTTTTACATTATATGAATTTGACCTCTATAGTTTTTGTAAAGCAGTCTTACCAAGAATGAAGATACAAAAGGGCTAAACCAAAACCACCCTTCCCTATCACCCTTGACCGGAGGCAGGGTATACTGTGGGAAAGCTGTGCAAATGGCCTCCTCTTCTTTTTCTCTGCCCCCATGTCTGATTGCTTGACGAAAGTGAGGAGAAAAGCCTGCCTCTTCCCCACCCCCAGCTCACCACTGCCCTCACCCCAACAGGGCTCTTCCAAGGGGAGCGTGCCTCTCAGGCAGCCGTTGCTGCCACACGAAGGCCTGCTCCCTGGCCATTTGGGATAAGGTCTGGTGGCTGGCAGCGCCAAGCCTTGTCTTGGCCTTTTGTCCAGGCGCTGGTTAGAAAGCACCCCATGCATCACTGGGGGGTGACCTGGCTCCCAGCTTCTGCCCTCCTGTCCCCATCACTTCCTGCAGTGTCGTCGGTGGAGAGGACGCCTCTGACGTGCAGAAGAAGCAGCCCCCAGGTGACGGCAGTACTCCCTATCCTGCCAGGTGTGTCATTGTTCTCAGGTGCCAAGGGAGAGGCCCTAGGCCTAGGCCAGCAGCTAGAATCCAGGGGAACCCGAGTCCCCTTGCAGCACACCACACACGCACGCACAGGGCAGGGGAGCAGCGCGTCGCTGATGAAGGAAAGGGGCCGCCAGATAACCGCACAGTTGGAGGGTGGCCCTAGTGACCAAGAAGCCCCACTTGAAAATCCTGGGACACTGAGTCACCCATTTGCCAGCAAAGTATGCCCCCCTCCCCATGCACACACGCAGTTGCATGGTGAGCAGTTCCCCCTGGCTTCTCTGCCATCAGGAAGGCCTGTGGATGCTATTCACTAGCCAAGGTGGGGTGAGGAGAAGAAAGGGAGTAAGAAGAGTGTTAGAGGCCCAGGAAGCCCCCCAGGCCCCCCAGACCAGGTGGGCAGGTGGGGCTTCCATGGTGGCTGAGGAAGTAGCCAGCCACCTGGGTCCTGGGCAGCCAGGGACCACTTGGGGAGTGACATCACACAGACAAGGGGGGTGGGCAGGACCTGAGAGTTAGCCAGCTGGTCTTACAGGAAGTAAGGGGGCGCTCCAAGGACACGTGCAAATGCACACACACGCATGCGCACACACAGGATAACCAAAGAGCTGGGCCCGGGAGTGGGGAGGGGCAGGCCTGGGCCGAGAGTATGTGTCCTGAGCAACGCGGATGGCAAGAGACTTAAGGCCTGCGCCAGAGGGCCTGGGCCTGCGCCTCTCATGGGACCTCAGGGTTGGCAGAAGCCAGCACAGATCTGCAGGGAAAACTCCTCACTCAGGCAGATGGCGAGGCTCAGGCGCAAAGGCAGGCGTCCTGGAGCCAGAACTCACCAGCAGACCCTGCAGCCAGACCTCCTGGGGAGGGGTCCCCAGAGTTCCCGACCAAACTAACTGCAGGGTGGGCTCCTGGAGAAGGAACGGGAGAGGCAGTCATGGGGTAAGAAGCACCTCAGGGTGCTTACGCCCACGGGGCCTGCTCAGCCATGGGGGAGGCTGAAGAGACAGGACCAGTTTGTGCAAAGAACGCAAAGGTCTGCAGCCGGCTGAGGCCCAGCTGCTGAGACGTGGCTGGGTCATCTCTGAGGTCTCTGTGCCAACCTAACTGCTGGGGTCAGGTTTCCGTCTTGCAGCGCAACTGGGAGGCTGTGCACATACTGCCGCCGTGAGATCGGAGACTGTCCCAAGATCACGCTGGAGCACCTGGCCATCTGCTGCCACGAATACTGCTTCCAGGTGAGGGCCGGGTGCGAGGAAGGTGCTCCTGTGAGCCAGGAACACCTGGGCCTAGCAGCAGCTGGGAGAGACAAGGAAGGATCTGCCCCCGCCCTGAGCTAGCGGTCCTCCGGGGCACATTTCCAGGCCAGGGCCAACAAGTGTACAGGCCCCGGGGCAGGAGTGTGGAGTGTTCCGGCTCGCACGGCTGCAGAGGGGAGGCCACAGAGGTGGCTGCGGCTGGACTGGGGTCCCCTTCTGTTTCTCCTTAGCTCCCCTGGCCAGCTCAGACATTTCACTGGGCCGTAAACGCCACCATTAATGGCTCCCGGCCCCTCCTGCAACAGCACAGTGCTCCGCCCGGGTCACCTCACCAGGCCCTCCCAACAAGTTTGTCTGAAGTTTGGGTTCTCTTTCTGCTTCCCAGTGCAGAGGTGACACCATTATTTGTTGTCCCGAGTCAGGCCTCTAGCTCAGGGTGTGTGTGTGCAACTCTCGCTGTCCCTTCCAGTGCGGGGTCTGTGGTAAGCCGATGGGAGACCTGCTGGACCAGATCTTCGTCCACCGGGACACTGTGCACTGTGGGAAATGCTATGAGAAGCTCTTCTAGGTGGGTGCCGGCACCCCGGGGACCAAGCAGCCAGGAAACATGTGAGGAGGAAGTCTGCCCTGATCTCTTCCTGAGCTGAGCGTGGGACGGAGCTTTCAGGGGTGGGCCCACGTCCCCCTGTCCCCAGGCCCTCTGATCCTTTCAGGATCTCCACAGCCGACCTCATCTTCAGTCACAAGCCTGGCCCATGCCAATGCACAGGTGGCCTGGATAGAGAGCTTGCCTAGGGACACTGCCAGTGTTCCTGGCTCCTCATGGTTTCTCTTTGTTTCCCCAGACAGAGTCTGCTGAGGACGCCCAGATACGGCTGTCTGTCCCTGACAGCCCTCACTGCCCCTCTCCCTGTCAGCCTGCATCTTGCTTTAGCTCTTTCTGAGTGGAATCTGCTGGCATCCGGTAGCGTTGCTCCCCGAGGCTGGAAGAGTTACTCGTGTGTGCAGCGTTGGGTCACTTCTAAAGCATGTTCCATCCATGCACTTACTTCAGGCCCTTTCAAGGAAGAAGCTATCACCAATCCCAGCTGGCCTGGTTTGTCGGGTGTGGGCAGGGGCATGACACTCACTGTGCCCTGGCCTCACAGTCTGGTCCACAGCTCTGAAGGGACCTTGGGGACTTGAGAGCAGAAGGAGATGCCCGAAGCTACCGAGGGGCCAAGAAGCAAACTGCTGGCAGCCCTTGGGGCACGGTGCAGATGCTGACCCTTAGCCTGCGTGCCCGCCATACCCTCAAAAAAACTCCAAATGTGGTTCAAAGGAGTGCCTGCTGTTGATTGAATTCCCCAGCGGCTGTTAACACCACACCCTCCGCCCCACCGTCCGGGTGGGAGCTTTCCAGGCGGGGATGGGGGCCTGTGTGGCCAGGATGGGATCTTAGGAGGTTCCTGACCAAAGGGGCAGGCCGCTTTGAGGGTGCGCAGACCCCAGCCGCCTTTGGAAGGAGGAACAAAGCAGCCCAGCTCTCTTGAGAGCGGCACAACGATGGCGAGGTCCGCTCACAGTCCAGCGAAGAGGGGAGCACTGTGGTCCCTTTGGAGAGACCAGGACCCTGAGACACAGAGCCCTGCCCCCTGCGGTCCCGGGAACCACAGCAGTGAGCCTTCCTGTGCCAGGCACGGTGCCAAAGGCCACCTATGTGCCCTGGGGCCACCCCACCCTGCTCAGCCCTCCCTCAGGGCAAACTCCTACCCAGAGGGGAAGGGGTGACGTGCCACTCCTCCTCCCCGAGCCCCTGGCATGTCCCTTCCCCTCCCCCCCTTCCCCTTCCTATGCTGGGAGTGGATCTGACTCACAGCCCCCAACAAAGGCATTCCCCGGGGGGCTCTCTGCCACGTCAGGGCAGAGCGACTGCACTGGCTGCCAGGGGGCCAGTGAGGAGGACAGGAGGCCTGATGAAAACAAAAGTCCCCTCGCCTGTCTCCCGTCTCTGAGCCCCGTGTGTGTGGGGTGGTGGACATGTCCTTACCCACGTGGGCAGAGGGGGCCATTCCACTGAACTGCGAATGTAGCGTACACATCACACACGGTCCCTGAACACTGTCTGGCCTTCTGCAGGTCTAGGCCCGGGCATGGGGGGTCGGGAGGGGCCGGCCTGAGTCCCAGGCCCAGCTGATGGCCTCCGGGACGGGATATGTGGCTGGAGGAAGGAAGTGCAATAGTGTCGTGGGTGGGGCTGTGTGATTTCTTCTACTAGTACCCAGAGCCATTGTCTCCAAAAGCTTTTACGGGATCCGGAAGGTTGGAGGTTCCAGCAGTCCATGCTGAGGTGCTGTGGAAGGGACCTGGCAATCTGCTTGCAAACCAATCAGCCGTTGCAAACCTTGTGGGACACAGTTGTGCTCTGACACACACAGGGTTGCCGTGAGTCGGAGTTGACTTGATGGCAACTGTGTGACTGGCTGCAACATGGGACGGAAATCCCTGCTGCTGCAAACGCTTACTGCCACCAGAGGGTCCTTGGAAGAGCGGCCTGGCAATCTGCTTCCAGACAATCTGCTCGGACACACATGGGGCTGCCATTTGTTAACACTCGACTCCATAGCAAGTGCTTGATTGGTTGGCAGTTGGGCTAGGAATCTGGTGGGGTATATGACTGATGTGCCCAACTTCTAACTAGAAGGTTGGGGCCCCGAGTCCACCTACAGGTGCCGTGGAAGAAAGGGCTGCCAACTACTTCTGGAGAAGCGCACTCAGGGACTCCTCTCACGTTCAAACCAACCAAGCAGTTGTCACTGAGTGCTCTAAACGATTAAGGCTCCCAGCTGCTAACTGAAAGGTTGGCAGGTCGAGTGCACACGGAGGCAATACTGAAGAAAGGCCTGGCAAGCTTCTGAAAAACCTACTGTAAAGCCCATGGAGGGCAGCTCTGCTCTGGAACAAACGACAAATGGAGTTGCCCTGAGTTGGCGTCAGCTTGATGGGAACTGGTTGGTTGGTTTGCTGATGGGATAGGGTCCCTGGTGGCACAAATGGTTAATGTGCCCATCCTCTACCCAAAAGTCGGGAGGTCCAAGTCCGCCTACAGGCGCCTGTGAAGAAAGACCTGCCCATCTCCTGAAAACTCAGCCCTCGAAAACTCCACAGCTCACAGTTCTATTCTGACACACGTGGGGTCACTGTGAGTTGGAGGCCACTCAATGGCAACTTGTCATCTCAGTACAACATGACATAGGAGGCCCCAGTGGTGCCAGTGATTAACATGCCCAGCTTGTCACAAACGGCTGGATGTCTGAGTCCATCCACAGGTGCGGTCAAAGAAAGGCCTGGTGACTGAGACATGGACAACCCTGTGGAGTGCGGCTCTGCTCGGACACGCTGACACACGTGGTCGCCATGAATCAGTCGACTCAATGGCAACTGCTTGGTTGGTTGCAAGATAGGAGAAGGGTACCAAGTGATGCACAGGGTTAATGTGTGCTCAGCTTTTTAATGAAATGTTTGAGGTTCAAGTCCACACCACCATGCTGTGGAAGAAAGGCCTGGCAACCTATGTCCTAACACCCAGCCCTTGAAAACTCTGCAGAGCCCTGGTCTGCTAGCCACAAATGAGAATCAACTCTATGGCAACGAGTTGCCTGATTGGAATATGGGATAGACGTCCCCTGGATGCTGTCAATGATTCACGACCCAGCTCGAAATGAAAGGTTGGAGGTAGGAGCCCACTGCAAGGTGCTGTGGAAGAAAGGGCTGGCAATCTCCTCCTGAAAAATCCCTCAGTATAAACCCTACGAGCACATTTCCACTCGGACACACATGCTGTCACCATGATTCAAACTGCCCTCGATGGCAGCTGGTTGCTTGGTGGGCTCACTGACTAGGAGTCCCTGATGGTAAAAAGGTTAGTGTGTTAGGTGCTCTCTGAGAGGATGGAGGTTTGAGCCTCAATGTCCTGAAGGAGAAAGGCCTGACTGTCTACTGCCTGGAAGGCTGTCCATCCGTTGAGATACAACGGACTGTTGCAAATTTGAGAAGAAAACTATAAATCACAGGGTAACCTCCAAGTAAAAGAGTAAACCTTCGCATCAAAATAAAAAGAGGAGAATCATAAATACTTAGGAAATAACAAAACAATAACAACAAAGAAATTGATAACAAAATTCACAAACAAAATGAGCTCACCCCAGAAAATTCTATGGACCAAGAAATAAGGAGCACCACACAAGCACACCAAAGCACAGAACAAAATGACATCAATCAAATTAATACTTGTTGATAATGCTACTCAATGTAAAAGGATTAAATGCACCACTCACAGGACAGAGAGCTGTGGACTGGGTGAGAAAACATGACCCATCAATACGCTGTCTAAGACACACACCTTAGACACAAAGACAAAAATAGACTAAAATTCCAAAGTTGGAGGGGGAAAAAAAAAAAGCAAAGTGCAATCATAAAAGAGCCGGTGTGGTGTTCTGCTTCCCTAGTGCCAATCTGACAAGAATATACCAAAAATGGGATGGCCTTAATAAACAGGAGTTTATTCTTACAATTTGGAGGCTTTAAGTCCAAATTTAAAGTATCAAGCTCTAGGGACTAGGTGAAAACCGTCAGCCTTGGGCTTCAGCTCTGCCTCCAGCTCCCAGCCCACTGAAGCCAGAGGCTTTTCTTCACTCAGACAGTTGCTGGCTGCTGAGGCTGCCGGCCCAAGGTTGACAAGTAAAAAGGCACAGTCCTGATGTCACCAAACCAC